GGTTACTTAAACCATAAAGACTATGATGAGATTTTAAAGTTCTACATTATTTGCTGATTAGAATCACATAGGTATAATCAAAGCTTATGGGAGTGCAAACTTGAAGATAGAGAAATATATGCTTCTGGCTAGAAATTGGGACACAAGGCATGGGACCTAAGGGATGATTGGCACATTGAAGAGCTAGTATTTTATCTAAATTACTTGGTAAATTTAGTATTGACAAAAACAGGATTGTGGGAGTGATAGCTAAAATAGGTAATAGTCACTGGTTTGAGCAATAGGATGATCCACATGACATTTCTATCACCTCTTATTCTTGAGAACAGGAGTTCCAGTTTCTTTATGTTAGATATAATTGTAAATATCTTTTATTTGTGAATCTCCAGAGCTTCCTTTTTTGTCTTTTCGTTTTTTCTTGCCATTAATCTCCCGAGCTTTGAATTGAGCAACATCTATTGAAATCATACGATGCTTCTTGTTCTGCTTGATTGTGTGCAGGTTGATGCTACAAAAAGAGGTGGTATTGCAAGATTTATAAATCACTCTTGTGAGGTACTTGTGGTTAATATTTCTTAAATTGAATGTGAGCGTCTTTATGCAAAAATGTGGAAACAAGTCGAATTGTGCTTTTTATCATCATTTTATTTCTCAAACAAGTATTTGAATATTGTGTGTGCGCATCATGCTGCTTTTTGTCATTATTTTATGTCTCAATTTGAATTTTTGGCAGCCTAATTGCTATACCAAGGTTATATCTGTTGAGGGTCAAAAGAAGATTTTCATATATGCAAAACGTCATATAGCCGCTGGTGAAGAAATTACATACAATTATAAATTTCCTTTGGAGGAGAATAAGATTCCCTGCAACTGTGGGTCCAAAAAGTAAGACTAAGACTTCACATCTCTAAAATCTTATGGGTTAACCATCTATTTTATGTTGTCTGGTTTCAACATCCTATAAAATGTATATGTTCTCAATTTTTTATGTGCTTAACATGCAGGTGTCGCGGATCACTGAATTAGAGGGATTTGATCTTTAATTTAGGTACGCAATGATCACTTAAGGTTTCTTTGAATGTTTAATTTCATTATTGATAGTTTATTGCATTTGTAACTCTTTTGTTTTTACAGGTTTACCTTTTGCATATTTTGGAATTGACAAGGGGTTTGGCAGTAGGTATGTACTTCTGTCCTGGGCAATTGTGGTCTGCTATACAACAATTGAGGGTGATGTTTATCTGTTGTTTACCACGTTGTTCCCTTCTGCATGCGTTGCATTATTTAAGTTTCAGTGTATCTGATTAGTGATTCTAATACTACTCATATGTTGCTTTAATTGGTGCAAGTCTTGATCTTTCCGTGGATGCTTATAATTATTCTTCCCAACATATTTGAGGAAAATTAATGGTTGTCTGAATCTGTTCTCTCTTCCTTTACTGCACTAGGCATTTTTAACTTTTATTTGTTCAAACTACAGCAGGAAAAGCCTTTTCAAAATGGAACAATTATGAGAAAGGAGGATTGGACAACCTTATAAACGGAAAAATAAAAAAGAAAAAGGGGGAAAATTAAAGGGTAAAAGAGGAAGAGATGCTTAAGAAAATGACAACGCCTCCAATCCCTATTTATATTAGTCAAAGAAATTCTTCTAAAACAAGCATGAACAGAATTCTACTGTCTCTACTTCCAAAACAATTATACTAAATCTATTAAAAGTTATCCAAATTTTTTTGTGCAAACTCAAATCTGGCCAAAGTTTCTAAACAACTTATTCCAGTACCCAGTAGACATACTGCAATGTAAGATGGCAAAGTTGTTTCACAATCTGTCTTGAAATAAATATGGGGTTATAGTGTTCAAATTTGCAGCATGTCACTGGCATTATTTTCGCTTTCTTCCATGTAGAAGATTTCCTTTCAAGGGGTGCTTTAGTTTTCCCTATTAAATCTCGCCAGTAAAAGTGCTGCCCTGCGGGAAGGAAAAATGGAGAAATAAGGCTTGCAAGAGAAAGCAGCAATTGAATCCAGAAACTCTCCGATCTGAAGGGGATGAAAGTTCAAGGCTTCAGAATGGGTTAAAGCCTCGTATTCATGGATCTACAAGAGGGACATCTGGTGAAACAAATAAGATTCAAAACAGCACACAATCCCCCCCCCCCCCCAAAAAAAAAAAACCCTGGGGAGAAGTCCGAAATCATGGAATTGGAAAGTTATGCCATGATGAAAGATTATGCAAATTTGGAAAAGCTTGATAAACAGGAACATTGGCTACCCTGAAGATCCTCAGGAACAAGAGATGTAGGCAACTCCTATTTTTGAGTCATTAATTTTCAAATACTATTAGTAGCCAACCACCAGATCAGCTTCCTGGCCCATTCCATTCCTTACCACGCCTCAACACATTTGCTCATGTGGGTGGCTGTTCAATGATGGGAAGTTAACATTTTACATTGATGATTAAATTAGTGACGAACTTTAGGAATATATTTCTTGGTATTCATTATTGATTCATTTTTTTACTTTGAATGAAATACCTTAATTTTGAATGTTTGGTGGCTAGATTTGGTCAGAAAGAATGGCTTCTGGTTTGATTGAAAAATATTTAATGTCCTTTGTTATTGAGATTTTAATGAAATATTTTTCTCCACAGGATGATATTATACTTCCAGAGGAAGTGGGCGTAGTACTCTCCATGATTCAGACATTCTTTTCAACATCCATTTCACCAAGGATTGCATTGGATGAGTTGTGAGAGTTCTTGTACTTTGCAATCATACTTTGTATGTTTTCACTTCCTGGGGATTCGTATTCTTCTGGTTGTCTGGTGTGCATGCGGTTTGTCCTTTGTGAATGTTTAGTTTATTTTCTATCTTGCATTGATATTTACCTGATCTGGCTTCCTTAAGATATAATTATGTGAAATTGGCACAGACAACCAAAAATGGATGGAGGAGAATGATTTATAGATTCAAAATTCTCATAAGGAGGAAGTATGGTTAGAGAGGAGCCTCAGACACCCAAGGAGAAAGATAAATTCCTAATTTATTAGCCGATCCCCTTAGAGATGTTTCTGAACGCTCCTATTCAAGGTGAAGACGTAGTTGCTTCAGCTATTACAAGTAAAGTCCCAATCCCGAACTATAAAAAAGTGAAAGCATATTCTGATTGAGACACGTGGGATACCTGGCTCAACTGGGACCCATGGAATGCTACACTGTGAGCAAGGAATTTTATGGCAACTAGTACTATGACTACAAAGTCAAATAATGTCAAAGCCCTAACAAGGTTCGTGTCACATACCCTGGATAACATCACACTAATCACATTAACCATTACAGAACCGAAGTAAGTGACACTGATCCCTCTGTCTAACCCACTCACCTTGAAAATGTCTTCCATAAAAAATAACCGAGAACCCAACTGTAGCAAAACCTCTGTAGTCCAAATTTCCATGTAAAAAAATATGATATGTATTTTATTAATTAGGTTCATCAGAGATTATTTTAGCCAATATCTTTAAAATTGAACTTTTAAGTGTGAACATTCAGTCCACGGAATTTTGACAAAAACTCAAAAGGAAGTTTAAATCACTCAATTTTTCAGAATTCTCACCAATAGGGAAACTTATGACGAGGTAATGAGCACATTGTACTTGTGTTCAAATTGAAGTTGATTTTTGTTCTTTTTACAAGTCTATTAGATGCCTCATTTCCTATTTGGTTGTTAGCTTACCTTTGGTTAAACCCACCAGTAAACTAGAGACTGGATAGTAGCTATGGTTGAGAAAAAGAAGTGCTGGGTTTTATAGACACTTGTTTGTAATTCACTATTAAAGAATGGTTTAATTTTATATATTATCAGATTTGGTGGTTCATATCGTACAATGGCACTGTGTCGTCATATAGTTGGCCTCACTTGGTGGGGACAGAGCTTGTTGATCTTGCTGTACTGGTGGTGGTGGGAGTGTAGAAAACTTTATAGAACATATTCCCCTTTAATACTCTGCTTGAATGGCAGACAGCCCACGTCATTTTCCTTATCTAGGTTTCCCTTGCCTGTAGTAAGCTCCGGCTATACTTTTGCTTTTAACATAACTTCTAGGATGTTAGAAGGGATGTATCAAAGTTCCACGTTGGTGAATTATGAAAGAATTGAGAGTTGGGCCTATAAATACAAAGGGATTACCTTCTTGTTGGATTAGGTTGTTGGCCACTGGAGAGAGCCTAGAGTTCTATTTTTGATCCATTTTTTGACCGATTTTAGATAGCTGTTGTCAATTTAGTTTATTTTTCTTTTACTGGCCTTGTGGTCTAAACTGTCCAGTATGATGGTCAGTTAAGTGGTTCAATTTTTTTCAACAGTGCAAGAGCTTTTTATTCTGAGAGTTTTGTTAATAATGATGACTGAAATTGAATATAGACAAATCAGTAAACATGCGCTTGGGGGGGGGGTGTTGATTTAAGTTTTTTTTAATATAGTAGTAATTGTGTCAACTATGACTGTAAAACTTCTAAAGAAATTTCATTGGATAGAATTGGAACGAAGGAATAATATACATCTGGAAAATATCTAGATTCTTCATGTTGTATGATTTTGGATTAAGAGGTGATGACAAAGTTATTCATATGTATTTCTTAAAAATTCAATAAAAGAAGTTTGAATAGGTGTTTCTGCGATCAAGTCCTATTGGTGATGATAACTGAAATTGAATAAAGATAAATCATTAAATGGGTGTTTATTTCAGTATTTGTTTTGTTTCAGGATATTGGTCTGCATCACTGAAGAAGGGCTAAATGACGTGATACTGTTGGTTGATAACTATTTTGGGTTGCCTATTCGTTGGAAGATGAAATAACTAACCTATGGGATTCTTGTAGAGTTTTTTGGCAGATGAGTTTCTCCCCTTTAGAAGCTGTAAATAATTGTTTCTTTTTAACATATGATAGATGAGGATAAATTTCTATTGGTTTAGATAAACAAATGATTTATTAATAAGAGAATTTTTTTTTTTTTTGGAAAATCCCAGTGCATGCTGCTGAAATTTGCTACACAATTACTAAATGTCCCCGCACTCGTTACACCCTTATTTCTGATGTATCAAATGGAACTGAGTTAGTAACATTTTCATATTTCCATAGACCCATTATAGCAATGCCATTTCTTGGGGGAAAAAATATTGGATTGTAATTTATTGGACATGGATTCACCCGCTTTAGAACATTGAAACATTCAATGTTTGCTTGAATTGGCAGTGAGCTGCTTGATCAATCTGACAGGTTTTATTGTTAGTGAGATTACTACTTATCATGTTTAAGCCAGCAATCTTGTTACTTTTGTTGGCATGTGGAAAATAATGCCTTAAAATATGGGTTTCTTATGAATGGTTGTCACATCTCATCAACAGATAATAGTGGGAAAGTTCAACGAAGAAGCTGGACATGTAAAATAAGGTTGTATTTCACATGTTATCATGTGATGATGGGATCTACAATGAAGGTCCTTGGTAGAATTGATTGCGCTGTAGTGCTTATCCTGTGGAAGCTTGTTATGTTATAGTGATAAACTGAATATGTTACTTTTATTTGTGCAAAATTGCAAACCCTAGCTTAAAATAGCAAGTCAAGGCCATTCGGTTGAAATTCTATCTTTACATCTGTCTAAACGGAACATTGTCAAAAAAAAAAAAAAAGGGAAAAATTCGGCTGACATTTGACGTTACCATTATCAATTTCATTATTAGGTATTAATTAGTTCGGAAGAGAAAATAGTTTAAAGAAGTCTCTCTTTCTCTTCCAAAAGGGTTGCATATACGTATATTTATTTTGCTCCTTTTCAATTCCTGTGATTGCAGGAGTAGCTCCAATAGGAAAACCATAAAACTTTGCTGCGTCGGGGTGTGCATACTGGTACGTTCTCTTTTCCGTCCCTTGTCGTTGTTGTTGTTACTTTGATGTTGATGATCTTGTGTTTCTAAGAATATGCACAACATATAATGTTATGAATAATTAGTTCAAATATTTAATTGATTAATAATAATGGACTTCTGAATTGTCAGTTACCCACCAAAGTATCCATACGTAAGTATCTTGAATTGTTGAAAAATGGATTT